GTCACTTGCTCTACCAGCTGAGCCAGCCAGGAGCCCCGATGGCATTTTCTTTCAATCTTTCTTCCTCCTAGGCATTGGTTTTCCTGTGTGACTTTAGAAATAGTATACATCTAATTTTGTGCGCTATTTCACTTGCCATTTTTTTTTTTTAAGATTTTATTTATTTATTTGACAGAGAGAGACACAGCGAGAGAGGGAACACAAGCAGGGGGAGTGGGAGAGGGAGAAGCAGGCTTCCCGCTGAGCAGGGAGCCCGATGCGGGGCTCCATCTCAGGACCCTGGGACCATGACCTGAGCCGAAGGCAGACACCCAATGACTGAGCCACCCGGGTGCCCTCACTTGCCATTTTAACACAGCTCTACCATCTCCAAAGGCTGTGTGCCTCTCTCCGCTTCTCCTAAGTAAGGTGCCTGCAGGGGAGACTGAAGCTGATCTTCTCCACTCCTTGGCTCCTCCTGAGAATAGGCGGTCCCAGAAATACCAGTCTCCATGGACTCCAGCTAGCCAAGGCCTGCCTGACAGCAAGGAGGAGGGCAGCCTGCTGAGAATTAGTTATTAATAATTAATAATTAGTAATGCAAAGTAAAGGTGTGGGGGTTGTAAGTTCGAGCCCCAGTTTGGGTATAGAGATTACTTAAAAATAAAAATCTTTCCAAAAAAACAATAGTAATACATGGCATAACACACATAACGTATACGGCACGTATTAGGCCTCCTTCCCTTGACTGCTTCATTTGCTGGAGGGTCCATGCAGGTGAGCAGCCCGCACTAATTGCAGCTTCGTCTCCAGACAGCCGTGGTCCAGGTGGGTCCCATCACCCTCAGCCCAGCAGGCCTGGCTCCCAGAAGCCTTCTTCCCAGCCTCTGAGCTCTCTAGATCAGTCCTGGTGCTAGCTGACAAGAGTCTCATCTCCAATTTCTCTTCTTTCAGGACAGACTCTGTGGACTCCAAGTCTTCAACCAGCTCCTCTCCAAAAAGGCCACCGATGGAAAGGTAAAAAAAAGCTTCTCCATCCCAGAAGTCCTGTTCAGCGTGTGTCCCCATCTCTGCTTTCATGGAAGAAGCCCTGGGGCAGGGGAAAGGAGGAAGCCTCATACATTATGTTGCTTGCCAACTCTAGGACCCACACAGTAAGACTGAATGGGACCCTGAGTCAGAGGGATGGCTCCTTCACTGGGGTGGCTGACCGGCCACCGTTGCCCCATAGCTATCCAGGGAACATTCTCAAGGTCAAGTTGAACCCAGTGAGGACAGAGGTCTTGAGAGCCTATCCCTGGAGTGGGATCTCTGGGTTTAGTCACCCGAAATAGCATAAGTCATCGAGTTATTTATTCATCAAATATTTATTGAGGGGCAGCTATGTGCCAGGAGCTGTTCTAGGTGCCAAGGACACAGCAGTGAACAAAAGAAAAATCTCTGCAGTCATGAGGCCTATATTCTAATAAGGGGTGACAGGGAATCCACAGAATAAGGAAATCAGGCAATTTTAGAAGGTGACGAGCATTGTGGAGACAACAGAGTGAGGGAGGTTAGGAAGGATGGTCATCACGGTGGTCAAGAGAGCCCTCTTTGAACAAATCCTTCATTAGCCATGCAGCTATCGGGGTCATTCTAAGCCCGGGACCCTGGGTGGCAGGGTCAAGAAGCAGGGAGGTGCCAGGGCCGGAGTGAGTAAGTGAGGCAAGAGAGTTGTGGCTCTGGAACAGGAATCACCAGAGGGAATTTATCGGAATGCCTTTGGCTGTGAGCTGAGAATGGGCTGTCGGGGCCAAGGGCGGGAGCAGAACCCAGCCAGGAGGCTATTCAATAATTGAGGCAAGATATGACGGTGGATTTCCTGACAGACTGGGGAGGGGTACCAGAGAATATCAAGAGTCAAGATGACTCTAAGACTTTTCTCTTGAGCCCCTGCAAGGATGGAATGGGGAAGACCATGTGTAAATCAGGCTGCAGCAGGTGATGCAGAGCTGAGGTTTGGATGTGTTGGGTTTGAGGGGTGTCCTAGTCATTCAGGTGGAGAAGTTGAATAGGCACTTGTTATACCAAGCTAGAATTCAGGAAGAACATCGGGGTTAGAAATCTAAGTTCCAGATTCATTAGTATGGATTGTTTGAAGTCATAAACCTTGATGAGATCGCCAAGGAGAGATTGTAACTGAAAGAGGGGGTCCGGGGGGAGGTTCAGGCTTCAACATATGACTTTATGGAGGACACAGACATTCAGTCTGCAATGGGAGAGAGGCAGGAGCATGATAGCATTTGGTCGGCAGGGGCCAGAGATGCTAAATGTCCTGGAACACGAAGGAAAGCCTTGCATAATGAAGGATTGTTCTCTCCCAAAAGGAAACACTGATCACTAGTCCAGTTCTGGGTGTGATGTTATAATCAAAACATTTCGTGTTTATGTAAGGATTTATACCTCCATATTCCTTTCATGACTTTGCCTTGTGACCTGGAAGTCTCCTGACTCCCTCCTCTAAATGCTTTCTTTTTCTGAAAGTCAGTCAAGCAGAATATGTTTGTCCTTAGAGCAGTTGTACCATTTCCTGCTGGTTCCGAATTGGGGGTGGGGAATCCAAAGAAACACAAGCAAGTCTTGTAAATCCACCTTATCTACTACCCAGACTGTTTCCTGCACTCTCTACCTCTCAATTTCATCTTTCTCCTCCATCCATCCATCCATCCATCCATTCATCCATCCATCCATCTGATGAGCACGTTTGTTGAGCACCTCCTTGCAAACCTAACATGCTCCAAGGACCAAGGTCATGTGCACACGGTAGGTGACTACTGGAGACCACGGCAGACTGGAGGGTACCTGTCTGTCTGAAGGGGCACTCACTATCCAGCCCAGCTGTCTGTTGCTGGAAATGCAGGCCCTGCATGCCATGTCTTCCTATTTTTTAAGGAAAGCTGGACATCTAGATATTCATATGAAACTCCCAATCTTAAATATGGACAACGTATTCATATTTTTCTGAGACAAAGGAGGGCAAACAAAATACATGTGGAGCCCACCAGGGGCATCCTCTAAGCCCAGGCAAGGATTTGAACTCATGATCTCTGCCTTTATACAACAAATCACTAACGTAGAGACAGACACCAAAATGCTTTTTGTTTTTGTTTTCCAAATGCTTTTTTTTTTTTTAATGTTTTTCAAAGGTATAACATTCGATGGGAACATAGGAAGAGAGTCTCAATATGACTTCCATTATCATGGAAGATAATCTATTTGTGCTCAGAATTGAAAGATGAGAAGGAGTTTGTCTGGTAGACGAACCAAGAGAGGGCTTGCCCGGCAGTGGGACTGGAACGTGCAAAGGTGTAGTAATATGAGTGAGCGTGGTGCTCTGGAAACTGTAGCTGGGGCTGAAGGGCACCACTGTGACAAGGAGGAAGGTTGCACTTTACCAACTGCCCTTAGGACCCCGCTGTCTGAATTGTTGACTTTTCACCCAGCAGCTAGGCTTGCCTGGCGGTGTAGTAACCGCAATGTCCTCGAGGTGGCGCGCAGGAGCAGCGAGCGGGCCTCCAGGTGCCTCAGCTCCGACCTGGGGCCGGAGACTTTTTCTAAGGGCTTGGTGATGTCAGATCGCAGGCTGCGGGGCTGGCGCTGGCACATCCGGGGAGCAGAAGGAAGCTGTTGATAAATCCGACGCCCCACCCCCACCCCCGCCAGTGATGCCCTCTCTGCAATTTGTCGCACTTCCAATCGTGTGCACTGAAAGCAAAATGAGCCTGGCTGCCTGAAATGCACCAAGACAGGAATGCCAGCCAGCCAGCCAGCCAGCCAGCCAGCCAGCTCCTAGCCAAGAGGAGGGACCAGGGCTGGGATTGCCCTACCGGGAAGGTGGGCGAAAGAAAGCAACAAGCAGCCTAACCTAGCCTGGGTTAGGGGACCCTGAAAAACTCTCTGCCTTGTGGAGACACAGTGAGATGTGTTGAAAAGAATTTGGAAGGCAGGCAGATCTTGGTTTGTGGTGTAACTCTGCCATTTGCTGGTTGGATGACCTTGGACAAGTTTGGAGATGGGCCGACCTGGGTGGTGGGATTTGACAGACGCTGGCTCAGAGAGAGATCACTCTCTTAATCCCAAGGAGTAGGGTCACTAGCCTTCCAAAGAGGACCTGTCACCCACCCAGTTCAGCTCTACCTAGGCCCCCTGGATGTGCCTTTCATCTCTTTGCGGCCAACTCCCTCAACTCATCTTATATTCATGCATTCAACAAAGATTCATCAAGTATTGGCCCAGAATGTTGTTCCAGGTGCTGGAAACAGTGGTGAACCAGCCAAATGGGTCCCTATACTCTGGAGATGGAGGCAGACAGTGTTTATAAACACACAAGTTAATTCTAGACTTGGATAAGGGCTATGAATGAAAGAAATCAGGTCACGTGCTAGGGAGTTACAGGGCAGGGATAGGTTGCTTGGCTGGGCTGTTTGGGGGAGGCCTCCCTGAGGATGTGATATTGGAACTGAGACCTGACTGGCAGGAAGAGGACCAGTCATAAGAAAATCTGGAGGAGGAAGAGCCTTCCTGGAGGAGGGAGCAGCCAGTGCAAAGGCACTGTGGTGGGAGTAACCAGTATATTTAAGGAAGAAAAAGAAGCAGTGCGGTGGAGGGGCTTCCATGAACTGAAAGGGAGCATGGCATGCGATTAGGTCAGAGGGGAGGTAGGGGCCAATGTCGGGGGGCTGGGAGGCCATGATGAAGAGTTTGACTTTATGCTGAAAATAATTGGAAGCCATTAGAAGGTCAGAAGCAGGGAGTGATGAGATCTGCTGTGAGTTTTTTAAAGCATTCCCCAGGCTTCTGTGTGGCAAATGGATTGTAAGGGGGGCAAGAGGATGCCAGGAGACCAGCTTCTGGGCTATTATGGGTCAGAGCCCAGTGGCCAGGACCAGGTTTGGGTACAGGGAGACTCCTTCTGATTGCAGGCAGCCCCTTAAGCTCTAGAGTTTACACCCTTCCCAGCCCTCCCTCACCCACACCTTTCCCTCCCACTGAAATCTGACTCCAGCAGAGAGCAGGTTGGAGCTCACGTTCCCCAGCCGTGCCCGGCTGCCAGGCCACTCACTTGTCAGGCAGGGTTGGGTCGAATCCAGGGTAAGTTTATCTAGAACAGAAAGGTTCAAACTGCATTTTAAAAAATAAATAAAAGCTAGGAAATCCCTTTGGACAAAATTTTTCGTAATTCAAAATATAAACCTTACAAGAGCAGAGCCTTCCCTCCCCCAGCCCATCTCAGCCCTGAGGCAGCACTGAGGCACCTTTGAGGAATCTCAAGGTTCCAGAGAACACAAAAATCCCAATGATCCAAGGGTGTCTGTGGTGACAGAGGGCATCCAAGGTCAAGTCAAACAATAAAGACCGAGGAACAAGAAAGTCTTCGGCAGAATTTACATTGAAGAGTACCCAGCAGGATGTTGGATGTTGGATCTTGTAACCCCAGATTTTTAACACCGGAAAGCTTAGGCTACTCAGTCAGCCTCACTTTCAGACAAACTCCTTGGGCCTGACTTTTCAGAAGCCCAGCATCATCTTCCTGAAGGGAAGAAGTACTTCCATAGCTCCAGAGCTGTCTGGTGCAGCTGCCCAGGCTGTGCACTGTACAACTCCAGAAGGTACCCAGCTGACAATATGAATGGCACTCCCTGGAATTAAGAAATGCAACAGCCATTTAGGACCTTCTGTAAGGGCTCAGTGTGTTAAGACTCTGGAGTGGAGGAAGGGACCTTCATTTCTTCAACTCTGATGAGTCAGTTTTTCCTAGGAGGCCTGAGGGCTGGCTGGCTGATCCTGATGGTTACTGAAAGAGATGAAGGTGGAGGCATCTTGACTGCCTGGCCCCCACCCCAAGAGTAGTGTAGAAGCATCTCTGAAAGGGAGGGAGTTGTGCAACTATCACTCCATCCTCTCATCTGTGAAATGGGGCCGGGAACTTGCAACTGTCAGGGTTATGGAGAGGAAGAAATAGCAAACAGGCAGTAAAAGGTGGCTTTGGCTTTTACCTTCCTTAACAAGTTCTGTCCTTCCTCTCCAGCCCCCTCACCCTCACCCTCCAGCTGCCCCTAGCCCCTCAACATTGCCCATGCAAACCATGGGTTTCGCACTTCTGTGCATTTCTGCCAAGAATACATCTTCCCGTCCGCTTCTCCAGTGGCCAACTCCTACTCCCCATCCCTTGTGGAATTTGTTGAACTGAATTGCACTGCAGTGTGGGACCTCTTGGAGCTTTCTTAAGCCATGCAGTTGTTAAGGGCTGTCATTGTGATACTGATTGGCCCAGGTCACCACAGGATGCGGGAGGATGCCTCTTCCATCGCCCAGCACTCTCTTTGCAAGGACTTGAAAGGGACCAACAACAGTTGGAGTCCAAGCTTCAGCCTATTTTTTTTTTTTTTGGTTGCATGTATCAGTACTTCTTTTTTTTTTAACTTTTTTATTGTGATAAAATATATATAACAAAATGTGCATTTTAACCTTTTTTTTCAGCGTAAGGAAAAAGATATTTTATCATTTTGAATGCATTGATTTACCAAATATATAAAACAGATTAGTTATCATTGCATATTTCAAGTTGTATGGTTATTCTTATTTCATGAACTTCCTAGATGGATTTTTTTATTGTGTCAAAATATACATAACATAAAATTTAGCTATTTTAACCACTTTTAAGTGTATCATGGCCAAAGTGACTGTATTGGGAGATGGAGCCTTTATGGAGGTAATTAAGGCTAAATGAGGTCGTGAGGGGTAGAGCCCTGATCCAAAAGGATTAATGTCCTTATAGAGACACCTGAGAGTTTGCTTGCTCTCTGCCATGTGAGGACCTAACAAGAAGGTGGTTGTCTACAAGCCAGGAAGCGAGCTCTCTCCAGAAAACTGAGTTGACCAGCACCTTGATCTTGGACTTCCCAGTCTCCAGATCTGTGGGAAATATCTATTGTACAAACCACCCAGTCTATGGTATTTTGTTATAGCAGCCCAAGCTAAGACACATAGTTATCCTGCCAATCATCTGTCTATATATTTGTGGGTTTTTAAACCCAAACCAAAATGAGATCTTTTTTTTTTTTTTTTTTTAGGATTTTATTTATTTGTCAGAGAGAGAGAGAGTGAGCACACAGGCAGGGGGAGCGGCAGGCAGAGGGAGAAGCAGGCTCTCTGCTGAGCAGGGAGTCTGCTGCAGGACTCAATCCCAGAACCCTAGGATCATGACCTGAGCCAAAGGCAGACACTTAACTGACTGAGCCACCCACGCATCCCTAAAATGAGATCATTCTTAGGCAGTATATCATGGGAGTTAGGAGTAGACTTTGGAATCAGACAGACCTGGGTTCAAATCTCAGTGGTGTAACTCTGTGTTTCCTCATCTGCAAACAAGAAGGAGAACAGTATCTACCTCCTAGGATGGCTTTGCGGATTAAATTAGAAAATGTTCCTAAAGTGCCTGGCACAGTGCCTGGCACATGGTAAAAGACAGTCCTCTTCAGTGGTGGTAAATTCACCATTCACTAGACTGTCAGCTCCTTGAGGGACGGAACTTTCCTGACTTGTCTGCTTTACCCCTTGTTCTTAGCACATGACCTGCAGAATAAGGGCCTAATACATATTCACTGAATGAGTGAGTAAATGGTTCAATGAGAGGGTAGAGAGAGCAGTTAGCATGGTGTGTAATGGATCCTAGTGTAGTTTCGGGCAATGTTACAATGTTCGGTAACCTGCAGAGCAGAGCGGTTGGTTAAGAGTCTGGGCACCTCATCCACAATATTCAGGTATGCCACACTGCTAGGGGTAGGGCGGGGTGGAAGAACAGCAGCTGGCGCTCTCAGAGGGCATCAGAGGGAAAGGAATCATACTAGCCACTAGGCAAACTCCATCAGGAAGTCTGTCCATGATGTCACTAAGCACACCTAACCTGTGCACCCCCTCAATAGGGCCAAGGACATCCCCAACACTCAGGGTACTCACCCACACAATGAAAGAAAGAAAAAAGAGAAAGAAGAAAGAAAGAAAGAAAGAAAGAAAGAAAGAAAGAAAGAAAGAAAGAAAGAAAGAAAGAAAGAAAGAAAGAAAGAAAGAAAGAGAAAAAATGAAAGAAAGAAGGAAGGAAGGAAGGAAAGAAAGAAAGAAAGAAGGAAAGAAAGAAGGAAGGAAAGAAAGAAAGAAAAAGAAAGGAAGGAAGGAAAGAAAGAAAGAAAAAGAAAAAGAAAGAATGAAAGAAAGAAGGAAGGAAGGAAAGAAAGAAAGAAGAAAGAGAAAGAAACAGAAAGAAAGAATGAAGGAAGGAAGGAAAGAAAGAGAAAGAAAAGAAAGAAAGAAAAAAGAAAGAAAGAAAGAAAGAAAAAGAAAAAAGAGGGAGGGAGGGAGAGTGAAGGAAAGAAAGAGAAGGAAAGAAGGAAGGGAGGGAGGGAGGGAGGAAGGAAGTTAGCTAGTTAGTTAGTTTTGGAGGGTCCATCCTTTCTATCCTAATTTAAACCCCAAGAGAAAAGATATTCTTTTATCTTCTATGTTTATATTACCAATGCTTGGCACAGAGCCTAAAATAGGCACAACAAATACATTTTGCAAGTAGATTAAAAATTTTGTAGATGTTCTCTATTTTTTAAATTAACATATCTCATACACAATGAAAGAAAACTATAATCTTCTAAAAATATCTGATTTGGTAGAAGGTATTATGCTAAGCGAAATCAGTCAGAAAAAGATAAATACCATATGATTTCACTCATATGTGGAATTTAAGAAACAAAATAAACAAAGGGAAAAAACAGAGAGAGGAAAACCAAGAAACAGACTCTTAACTATAGAGGACAAACTGATGGTTACCAGACTGAAGGTGGATGGGGGGTGATTTGTATTAAGAAGTGCACTTGTGATGAGCACTGGGTGTTGAATCACTATATTGTACACCTTAAACTAATATTACACTGTATGTTAACTAACTGGAATTTAAATAAAAACTTAAAAAGATAAAAAAAAAAAAAAAGAGTCTGGGCACCTGAGTTCAACTGCTTGGGTTTCAGTTCTGGCTTCCAGATGTGTGACCTGAGTCAAATTATTGTAAATGCGACTATCTCTACAATACACTTTAAAATGCAACTCTGACATGGAGGTAAGAATAGCAACAGCCGGGCATCTGGGTGGCTCAGTCGTTAAGCGTCTGCCTTCGGCTCAAGTCATGATCTCAGGGTCCTGGGATCGAGCCCCGCATCGGGCTCCCTGCTCAGTGGGGAGCCTGCTTCTCCCTCTCCCACTCCCTCTGCTTGTGTTCCTGCTCTCGCTATTCTCTCTGTCAAATAAATAAATAAATAAAATCTTAAAAAAAAAAAAAAAAGAATAGCAACAGCCTCGTGGGGTTGTCATGAGGATTAAATGAGATGATCCATGTCAAGCACCTAAAAATAGCACCTACCTCATAGTGTTGTCATGAGGATTGAGGGAGATCACCCATGAAAACATCCAGAATGGTGCTCAGTGAAGGCTTTATTTGCTTAATGTCAAAATGTCTATTACTGTTTGTCATCCTCAGATCAAACAGCAGCAAATCAAGAGCAGAGACCCCCAAAACACCCAGCAGCCCCTTGACCCCCACTTTTGCCCCTGCTGTCTGCCTCCTGGCACCCGGCTATCTCACAGGGGACTCTGTGCGGGACAAGTGTGTGGAGATGCTCTCAGCAGCCTTGAAGGCCGAAGGTGAGAGGGCCTGGGCTGGGGGGCGGGGGGAAGGGCTTCCCGAAGGCCGATGAGATGTGGTCCTTCTCAGGAGTGGCACAGGACGCTCCAGTCCCCGGTACGGGCAGGCTCCACTGCCAAGGTCATGGCTGGCTGATGCCTGTATTTCCCGAATCTCTTATAGACGATTACAAGGACTATGGAGTCAACTGTGACAAGATGGCGTCGGAAATTGAAGATCATATCCTTGAGCTGTGCCAGGGCTGTGGGTGCCTGGACTGTCCAGCGGCAGGGTCTCCCAAGTGCAAGGGACCCGGGACAGTGAGGGGGAGGGGAAGGGCTCTGGGGACAGCCCCTGTTCTGCCTCTGAACCAGAGTTCTTAATTCTAGCTAACATTTATTAAGTCTTGCACCTGCCAGCCTCTTGCTGTTTATAAG